GTGCCTCAATTTTGGTCACGGTACCCGCAACTGCAACATCAAGCCACGCTGCAGCAACTGCGCTCAAGAACACGCCACTTCCAACTGCCCTGCGGATGGAGCCGTGGCGTTAAAATGCGCCAACTGTGGTGGTGCACATCAAGGTTCCGACAGACAGTGCTCCAAACGCGAGGACTTCAAACGCATCCGAAAGCAGGCGTCAAGCAACAATCAACCAGGACGCAAGAAGGACAAAACCCCAGCATTCAGGACGGAGGATTTTCCGCCTCTTCGTGCTCCCCAGCAAAGGCAAGCGAATTCGCGGGTGCAACCCGCCCCTCCTCAAGAAGCTTCCGGTGATTCTGCTGGCCAAAGCTCTCCATCCCCCCCTGGATTCTGGAGACAACCAACAACGCAAAACAACAACCCCGATCTGTTCTCAGCGGATGAACTGATGGAAATTTTCGTCAACATGTCCGGTGCTCTTCGTAAGTGCCGCAATAAGCCCGAACAGATCCAAGTGCTCGGTAAGTTCATCATCCAGTATGGCGTCTAAACCGCTAACTATCGTCACCTGGAACGCTTGCTCCGTAAGAGCAAAAAGGATTGAGCTTGCCGACTTCCTCCGCAAGCACAGCATCGACGTGGGCCTTCTAACCGAGACCCATCTAAAGTCCGGCGACAGCTTCTGGTTGCCTGACCACAATATTATCCGGCTTGATCGCACCAGCTCCAGGGGGGTGGTGTTGCGGTCGTCGTCAAGAAAGGAATAAAATACCACACTCTGTCCCATATCCGCACCTCTATCATCGAGGCCCTTGGTGTGGAGGTGGAGTCGTCGACTAGATACGTCCAGTTCATCGCCGTCTACTGCCCTCGACAGTGTGCCGCCAGCAGTGGACTAGCGGCTAAATTTAAGAAGGACCTGTCCACCATCACCCGTACCGGTTCCCGCTTCGTAGTTGGAGGAGATCTGAATGCTCGCCATGAGGCCTGGCGGAACTACCAGCAGAACCAGAACGGTCGTCTCCTGTTCGACCACTCACAGCATGGGCTGTATTCCGTTTGGTTTTCGGAAGAACCAACATTCATCTCACCGGCGGGTAACCCATCGACGCTAGACCTGTTCCTGACAAATATCGGCTTGTCCAAGCCGGTAGCCTTGAACGAACTCAGCTCCGACCACCAACCGGTGGTGTCTGAGCTGGGCTGCAACGTGGCTCCTGCTTCAAGCCTGCGCAAGAACTATCATCACGTAAACTGGGCCCAGTTTGGACGCGTGGTAGACAGGCACATCATCGACAACCCGCCGCTTGACACCGTGGAGGACATCGACCGAGCGTTGGAGGGACTCCACCAAGCCATAACCGTGGCTGACGAGACGTGCGTCCGACGAGTTCCTGTGAGGGGTAAGTTTATTGCTATTGATTCCCACACCCAACTCTTAATTCGCCTGAGAAATGTTCGTAGACGCCAGTTTCAGAGGACTGGAGATCAAGCGAGGAAACGTGAAATGGCCGATCTGAACAAGGAGATTGCTTCCAGAATGGTCTCACTCCGGAACGAAAGTTTCGGGCGGCTTGTCCAGAATCTGGACGACCGCTCCAGACCATTCTGGAAAGTTGCCAAGGTCTTAAAGACGCACCCTAAACCCATTCCGCCACTAAAAGATGAAAATGATGACGATCGGCTCATAATCACCCCTCAGGAGAAAGCAAATGCGATTGGTGAGCATATTGCCAAATCGCACATGCTTGGCTCCAACATCCAAAGTCCGCTTGAAGTTCAGGTTGAGCAATGCGTACTCAACCTTGATTCCTCCCCTTGTGCCATCCCTCCGGAGGATAGAATCACAGTGGAACAGATTTGCTCAGCGCTGAAATGCACCAAAAACATGAAGGCCCCCGGGTTTGACGGAATATTCAACCTAGTGTTGAAAAATCTCAGCATGAAGGTTCACTCTCTGCTGGCTGCTGTCTTCAACAGATGCTTGGAACTGCACTACTTTCCAAGTATCTGGAAGACAGCGAAAATCATACCTATCCGCAAACCCGGGAAGGACCCAACGCTAGCTTCAAGCTACAGACCAATCAGCCTCCTTTCAGCGCTGAGCAAATTGTTCGAGAAACTCATTCTCAATCGTTTGCTCAAGTTTGTCGAGGAAAATAACATTCTCCTTCCGGAACAGTTTGGGTTCAGAAAGGGGCACTCCACCAATCACCAGCTAGTGCGGGTGATGAATAACATCCAAAGTAACAAAGCTGTATCCAAGTCCACAGCCATGGCCTTGTTAGACGTTGAGAAAGCGTTTGATAATGTCTGGCACAATGGGCTTGTATACAAGCTTTGTAACTTCAACTTTCCATTACATCTGGTTAAAATCACCCGTAGCTACCTCCAGCAAAGGTCGTTTAAGGTATCGTTGAATGGTTGTTTTTCAGACACGTTTTCCATCCCAGCAGGAGTCCCGCAAGGCAGTCTGCTGGGCCCCTTGCTTTACAGCATTTACACTTCCGACATTCCTCCCCTCGGTGACGGTTGCGTGTTTTTTCCTGTTCGCAGATGATACCGCAATAGCCGTCAAAGGAAGGATGCCTCGCGAAATAACGAACAAACTTCAACGATGCCTTAACGCCTTTGCTGATTATGCCACCACGTGGAAAATCAAAATCAATGCCTCCAAAACACAAGCGATTATGTTCCTCCATCGGCAATCGCCCAAACTGAAACCGGCTCCATCTTGTACTGTAATCATGAATGGCACAAGGGTTGAGTGGTCTGCCGAAGTAACCTATCTCGGGATGTTGTTTGATGAAAAGCTCCTCTTCCGTGCGCATGTAGAGAAAACTGTAGTTAAGTGTTCTGCCTTGGTTAGGTGTCTGTATCCGCTGATTTGCCGCAGATCCCGCCTCTCAAGGGTGAACAAACTGGCCGTCTACAAACAAATCATAGCACCTGCGATCCTCTACGCAGCTCCGGTGTGGGAATCATGTGCACAGACTCACAGGAACAAAATCCAGGTCGCTCAGAATAGAGTGCTGAGGATGGTACTTGATCGTCCTTTTGACACTAGAATAACAAATTTACACGAAGAGGCAGGCATTGCCAAAATAGATTCCAGAATTAACGAAATTAAGACTAATTTTGCACAAAAATGTGATTTATCAGAACATGCTTTGATAAGCAATTTGTATATAGTAGGTTAGGTGTACATAGTAGTTGTAGGTTAGTTGTAGTTGTAAATAGTAGTTATAAGTAGTCTCCTTTTTCAAATTTTCAAACAAACCAATCCCACCAAGGTGGTCATTCTCTAAAACAGGCCTGATAGGACTAGGAACTGTAATTAATAATAATTGAAATTTCACAGGAACTAAAGTTGAAAAGACGCATCTGTGTCACTTGATAAGTTATACATGTAAACCACACAAATTCAAGAAATATAGATCATTTAAGTCAAAAAAAAAAAAAGTCGCCCGTTCCATCATTGTCTATCCGATCGTCGACCCAGCAGAAGAGCAGCAGAGCAGCAGTACCAGAGCAGCGGAAGCAGAGCAGCGGCAGCAGAGCCTGGGGGCGAAAGGGCAACTACGCCGAGTGCGTTGGTGCCAGTGCTCCGGTATACTGGGCCGCCGTCATGGAATGCCCAGCTGCTGCAGTCGGTCGTATTCACCGTCTGCTCCGCATGGGCAACTACGCTGAGCGCGTTGGAAAAATGGCCCTTTTCAGGGCCACAACATTATCAAGAAAGAGTTTAACGATTAATTTTCTAATTACGAAGATTCAGCAGAGCCATATTTTATCTCGAAAAATAGTTTTAAGATTCTTAACAACGAGAATCTTGAAAACATAATAAAATTTACTTAGAAAGTACCATATGTTATTTTCTAGTGGATTGAGCAAAGACCTTTTCACTTTGATGCTACATGAAAATAAAGTGAAATTCATTTCCAAATCATATACCGGACCCGGCTGTGTTTGTTTTCAAAACCTCGAAAACAAACCCCCGCACACGTTCTACTTCGTTACTTCTAGACTAACATTTGAAAAGGGCGGAAGAGCCAAAATGTAAACAAACCATATTTTGGCACATATAGAAAGAACAGTTCACAAACTACTCGATAAACACGAAAAAGTAGAAGAAAATATCACTTCATATCATCAAAAACGTTTCTTCTTACATGGTGGATTTCCAACTTTCAACTCGATGATGCAACTGGTTGTTACGCCTTGCACCAGAACAACGAATAATATTGTTTTAATATGCCAAACGTATTGATTCTGTAGTATCTAGTCACGCCCGATTCATTTGAAACGCATCGGATTGATATTTCACGTGTAAACAACGAACAAAAAGAAGACCAAAAAAATCTTAGGGCGTAATTCCACTCTCACAAAATTTACGAGAGAAGAACCAAGGCGGAACAACAAACAAAAAATCCCGATGGTGTACTTCCACGGCGTATCACCAGTGTTGGCAGTTCAAAGTGTGGAAGATCTGGGGGGTAACAACATGTATGAAATTATCAGAGCGTATGATGTTTTCTTCTCAATTTCACGACAAAGAAAACTTTTTTGTGTTTTTATTTATGCATGATGATAGATTACACTATTAACTATATGTCAAGCTTATAAAATCATCCAGAAAATGGAAAGTCGTGAAATAGGATTAATTTTTAGGTCATCAAAATTCGGAAGCGATTTTCTCGATATGGTTTTTTTGGAGTTCCGCCCTTTTCAAATGTTAGTCTAGACTTAATCTAGACTAGAACGGAACGAAAGGTCACTTCAACTCTTTTGAATTATTGTGGTGGCCCTGAAAAGGGCCGGTTTTGTCAAGATACGACGAGCCAGCTGGATGTCCTTCGGCATGATAGTGACGCACTTGGCGTGGATGGCACACAGATTGGTATCCTCGAACAGACCGTCCAGATAGGCCTCTCTAGCTTACTGCAGAGCCATAACAGCTGAGCTCTGGAACTACCACACAGATCGGTCTTGAAGTCCTGGGCAATTTCACGGACCAGACGTTGAAAAGGCAACTTTCGGATCGGCAGTTCGGTGGATTTCTGATAGCGACGGATCTCACGCAAGGCGACGGTGCCTGGCCGGTAGCGATGGGGCTTCTTTACTCCTCCGGTGGCTGGAGCGCTCTTGCGAGCGGCCTTCGTTGCCAACTTCTTGCGAGGAGCCTTTCCTCCAGTGGACTTGCGAGCGGTCTGCTGAGCTGGTTGTGATGTGTATGCAATGAAAGCACACTGTGGAATAACAAATAAAAATCACTTCCATTCTGTTTTATAACATGCGTTTGCTGTGTTCAACCAATCAGAAACGATGAAAGAACAACAACACAACAACTAACCAAAAGAATTTAACCCTCGAGTAGGTATAAAACAGCCAAAATTTGAAATTTTTGTTCACTTTTGTTTCAACCTTCATCGACGTTACAATTGTCATACTAGAAAATTACTGGATGCGGCAAGGGTGGAAAGGACTTGGCAAAGGAGGAGCCAAGCGTCACCGAAAAGTGTTGCGTGACAACATCCAGGGCATCACTAAACCTGCAATCCGTCGTTTGGCTCGTCGTGGTGGAGTTAAGAGAATTTCCGGTCATCGACTCAGAACAAAAAACCGGCCCTTTTCAGGGCCACCATATAAATTTAAAAGATGTTTTAGAATTGACTTTCTTGCCAGAATGTGAAAGGTTGAAGTGATGTGATGGAGCGTTCATCAATCTGCGGGTGTTAAGCTTAAATCAACGTAGGTCCTGCTGGTTACCGCTACTAATCCAGTACCGACAATATTCTGCATACATTTTGGTGTGGTAGTTCCAGATACGTCGTGCACTTCCGGAATCGAGAGAAGAAATTAATGAAAACGCCTGAGTTGTCCGAACGCGCTTTGGGGAAAGATATCGCAAAAGAGTTATTAAGGAATATTCCTAAAATATACACAATTAAGTACAACACATAACAGACGTTATCCAACGCCAACCCTGCGGTCGTATCTAGTATACAACCCTTTCAACTTTTTTGCTTCCAAATGCATTCCACAACTTGTTCAACACATGAAAGGCATCGTTCGGAATCTAAAGCTTATGCTAACATTTATACAAAAGAAACATATTTGAATTAAGAAAAAACAAGTTTGTGGAAGTAAGAAGCAATAATCTATTTTACGATGAAAAAAATCAAAGTCGCCCATTGCTACCTTGTTTTGTTTTGTGAATGACAGTTGAAGCAAATGCAGTTCATTCAGTTTTCGCTAAGAGAAAGAGGAGACAACTGGCTTCTTTTTAGATCTAACGTGTTCTTCTTTTCTCGCGAAAACGACCGTGCCAAAACGAACACATTCTGGGAGACACGGCCTACTGTCAAAATACAAGAAAATAGATTTCCTATTGTGAAAATGCTCGGGTTTGTTTACGTCCACTTGGCATACGCAAACTTTATAACGACCAATCAGGAGCTGGTTCGCGTTTCTGTCAAAACGTGGTTCGTTTTCGCCCCCCTATTGGCAAATCAAAGTTGGATCTCGTGGAGAATAGAAGAACTATGAAAGTGATGATGGTTTCAAAATTTTCCACGGGGAAGTATACGAGTGCAATCTTAAAATGCTTTTATTTTGTGAATGGAGCATTTTATTTAAATCTGGTTAGTGCTACGTTAGTAGAAAACTTCAGGACTACTCAATAGACATATAATACAGAAAACTTAATTTCTTTTCAGATTTTTAGGTGTAAACATAGACTTCCGCTTTTCTACCACTGTAGCAGTAACCAGATTTAAATAAAATGTTCAATTTTTAAAATAAAAGCATTTTAAGATTGCACTCGTATACTTCCCCGTGCAAAATTTTGAAACCATCATCACTTTCATAGTTCTTCTATTCTCCACGAGTGCCAACTTTGATTTGCCAATTGTCTCAGAGTTTTTGTTTCGAATCGGTGCAAAGAAAGTGCAGTTTAATGTGTGACCATTCAAGATTGCTGAACTCATTTTAAAACATGATTCAAAACATTGGATCATGGATCGCGTTCACTGTACAATGCCTTTGTGAAGGCTTTCCCGGACAAGAAAAAGCAATAATGCCAGGCTCATGCCGTTAGATTTTGGAATGAATGGAAGGATAAGCATAACGAGGTGCTTGAAGCAAAAGTTAAAGATAAAATTAAAGAATTAGAGGGACTTTTGCTGAAAAAGCAGGGTAAGCTGTTCAAGTTCTGGGGAAATCTCTTAGCGCAGCTAAAGAATCCGTCGTAACACCAGTATATGTACCAAAACCCGCTTCCTCAACAAAGGAACCGGATGACACCACACAAACTTTAACATCGAGTGCAATGAAACGCCCTGCACCAGCCAGGAAAACCTCAAGGCGCAGCTCAAGAACCGAGTAGTGGCATCCTTGTGGTTTCTATCAAAGACCATCTGCAGAATCCATGGGCTGACGAGTAGTGAGAGTTTGCAGATATCTTGTTAAGTTTGTTTTTTTCTATGTATTTTATTTTTTTATTTCAATTACCTCAAAACGCATTGAACTCGAGCTTTAAGGAGGCATCACATGAATATGATTGAAGAAATATAAAATCAAATTTGCCTTGGTCTGAGTTTCATGTAATTAAAAGCAATAAAAGCACAGAAAAACCGACAAATTAAAATATCATTTTGTTTGATTCAACACACGGTTTTTGTACATCCTTCGTACAAAGGAGGGGAGGGTATTGATTGTGTGACGTAACAGTGTGGAAGGGGGTTGGAAAAAATGTGACAATCTGTGACTTGGAGGGGGGGGGGGTTAATTTTAGCCGATTTTCGCGTGACGTAATTAATGGACCCTTCCTCTTAGGAGAGCACAATTCAAATGTAGCACTCATCCACTGATGCCCAAATCTTAATTTTGCATATCTTTATTACGCTTTCATAAAACCAGCTTTTGCCTGGTCATTTGGTCTAAATGATTTGTTAATTAAAATTTAAGTTTTTCGATGCACTTGACTTAATTAATTCAACGAACCGCGGTCTTTTCTTTTTTTTCAACGTCACTCAATATAATGACACTTGATGCTGAGGATTGAGCAAATCTTGACGGGGGTGTCCTTAGTAATTAGATATTCAGTCATCGTGTCATCGCAAGAGAATAACTCATCTTACAAAACGAACCGTGAAATCGCTAGTCGCGTGGTGACAGCATCAGCAGCAGTTTCATGTTATCGCAGTTCTTCATCTCGTTTAACTTTTCAACCCAATGCACATAGGTGTATTTGGTTCGAAAAGCAGGCCAAAATTGCCGTCATGCATTTTTTAAATTTATTATTGCTTTCGTGTGCTCAAATGCAGCAATACTGTAGTTCCCCGTGAGTTAATTTTGTATCCACCAAATCTACCAACTCTTTCCTGAATCCCCTCGGCATAACCAGAATGCGCTTCTTCGACTCGGGCTTTGCTCATACACCTCTCTTTTGCTCAGCTTGCCGACGTTGCTAGTTCGCTGATCGTTTCTCCACTTTCACTGCAGCTTCGACAGTATTTAAAAGACTGTGAGATAGAAATATCCGCCCTAACCCTATTCATTAGACTGATGCTCAATTTGGAATTTTCGCTCCACAGTGCTCAAATGATTCACAATTGAGACCTGATTAGCCTCCCAAAATTTGAACTCATTTAGTCAGAAAATGACTTGGAACAAACCACTTGAAGTTAGAAACTACTATGGGAAAACCAATTGTTTTGTTCATAGCTATCTAAACAATCACCATATCGCTCTGCTTTAAAAAATGATAGCTTTGCTTGTAGAACCATTTTTTAAGAAAATGTATGGAACAAAATGTATTAATGATTCAAGTCCCTAATGTCTTATGATTATGCTCAATCAACTGTTCAGCAGGCAACATTGGTATATTTTTGTGATTTTGGTACTTCTGACGCGTAGAATAGAGCACAAAAATCATAGCTACTATGTCACAGAATGCAGAATACAGTGTTGCCCAAAAAACAGTAAAGCAGCCATAAGATTATTGATCTCTTAAACAATTAATATTAACTTAAATTAAGCGGTGGAAAACAAGGTCGACGGAAAACAAATCATGGAAAAAAAAGTGCATGTTCGTCCACTTGTGTGCGTGGAAGCCTAAAAATCTATGCTAATACTTTAACATAAATATGAGTAGCAGCTGTCATCGACAGCTGAAATTTTATTAACCTGCTAATTTATCTGATTTCATCGTACTTCTAAAGCACAGCGTTTTGGCCGTATCCCATAGGAACGTATTTTTCCCTTTTAGGATCACAATTAAATTATGGACACAAGTAAATAATTGAGCTAGCTATGATTTTATATAATGGGAATCCTGCTAATAGCACGTGAAAAATAACATAAAACTATTATTGTGCCATCGGCGTGAAGGAATTCAAGAAAAAATAAAAATAAAATATTAAATAGCATTGATTTTCCACCAGAAAAGCTCAAAACAACCACTCACTCATCTGGTCATATCTTAAATACTAATTGTCCCAATCATTTTCCCTTGGAAACAAGTAGAAGAGTTTTCCAGAGTGTATTAAGAAATAAAAAATCCCACCCATGGTGAAAATAGGCCATTTTTGATAATTTGGATACCTGCCGGTAATAAGCCTTTTTACTGTAGTAACTGTCGTGACTGGACCGAGGTTTCCAGCCTCGGCCACGGCAACACGAATTAGCGATGCAGCTCCCACGGGTGCGGCTGCTTCTATTGCTGCTGCTGCTGCTGCTGTTTCTGCTGCTGAGGTTTCTGTTGCTGCTGTTTCTGCTGCTGCTGGTGGTCCGTCACCTCCAAAATTCGTTTCAAGAATGACTTCAACGAGTTAGTTAGTTAGTTTAATTTAAATGATCTTTATTTTAGTTTAACTTGGACGATTACCATATAAATTTTTACTAAGTGATTTAATTGCTTTCTTCATCTTTAGGTATGGGCAAAATTTAAAATTTGTTTTACAGGATTAGTCCTAGACTTAGTACACGGTCGACCACCTTGGTGGGATTGGTTTGTTTTGTTTTTAGAATTTGAAGAGAAACTACTTAATACTACTATTTACAGCTTAAAACTAACCTACTCTACTATATACACTTAACCTACTATGTACAAATTGCTTATTAAAGCATGTTCAGAAAGATTGCATTTTTGAATAAATTTAGTTGTCATATCATCAATTTTGGAATCTACTTTGGGAATTTCTGCCTCTTGATGGAGGTCTGCTATTCTTGTGTCGAATGGACGATC